ACTGCCATCATAGCAGTATGTGGCTCTCCTGATCCCTCATGGGTGCTACCTTTCGGAGACCTCCCTGATCCACCCACAATGGCTGCAAGTGAGCAGGGGGCTCTCAAGCAACCAGACCACAGGATTTCACTGGAAGTGGCTTCCTTTGAAGCCACCCAGGGGATGGGTAGGGTGTGGTGGGGGGAGAGAGGGAGCAGAGGGAGGCTGTTGTGTACAAGGTCTCCCTTTAAAATAGAAGCAGGACAAGTGGGAGAATGAGGTAACAGTCTGTGACTGTGACTGTCACATCAGGCAGATGTGTGGCAGCAGCTGTCTGCTGTCTCTGGATCCTGAGGCTGTATCTTGCTCTGCCCGTGTATCCCCTGAGGCCCCTCCACCTCCAGCTTCCAGTGCTGGTGCTGTGAGTCCTGGGAGCCACCAAGTCCCCTGAGCCACCACCAGCCACTACTATCCTACACCAGCAGCTGTGACAGCACAGGAGAGGACAGGAAGGGTTATGTCCCCACACAGACTTGAAGGACACATGAAGTCAGGCTATGCCACAGCCACATATTCCACAACTATCCCAAGACCCCTACTTACCCTGGAGAGCAGAGCGCGGAACTTCTTGTCCAGAAAACTCCCATGAGATCTATCAACTGCATACAATCAAGAAAAGCAGGTATCTGATTTGTCTAATAAGCGGAGCAACATGAATGGCTGAGACCAGTTTCTAAATGAATACCCAGATGCAGTAAAAAGTGGCTATTGTTCAGGAACAGAGGTATAATCAAATTCTTAATTTTCTATTTCAATAAACATCTTTGAATTAATGCCTATTCCACTAATTATGAAGGTTTTTATTAGTGTTCTACTTGATTGATAAAGCACAAACACAGATTACACATAATAATGTCGTCATTTCCCTGCGGGTGAGCACCTGGGTGGCTCCGTGCATGCCCTGAAACCCGGAAGGGAGAGAAGGGAAGAGGCAAGGAAGCCAGCAGTGGGTGCAGAGGAGGGTAAAGCCCGGCATGTGGCAGGCAGAGCGGTGCTTGGTGCAGTGTCTCGGTCGGCACAGCCCAGGAGATACTTGAACAGGAACAGCTTCAACTCGCCCTCGACAGGGCAGCCCTGAGCCCAGAGCCCTGGCGTGGCCTCAGGAGGCTTTGGAAGGAGCAGCTGCCCCACAGCCTCACTGCAGGTCTCTTGGGCAGACCACCCACCACCCAGTCTCTGGAGGACACACAGGGCACCACACAGGAGGCTGCACTCTCGGGCCTGAGGCGTTGTTTTGGGCCTTCAGGAAGGCTGGAAACTGTGAGCCTGAGTGGAGGGGAGGGGATGGGCTGGGGAGGGGCCATCATCGCAGAGCTGGGCCAGGGACTGTTGATAGCCAGCACTCACATGAGGCTTAGAACCTGCAGGATGGTGGCACCTTTGGGTGTGTGTGGGCACAAGTGGACATGTCACAGGAAGTCTAGTCCATCCCACCCCAACCCCTGAGATTTGTGGGTCTCACTGTTATTTTCTCCTGAAATTGGGATTAAATCTAAGGCTTTTGGGGTGAGCTTCAGCTCCAGCCCTTTAATTATTATTATTTTTTTAATTTTGAGTCTGGCTCTTGGCTACTCCTTGTTACCCAGGCTGGGTTTGTACTGGGTCCTCCTGCCTCAGCCCCCTGGAGGGCTGGAATGAGAGGCACATACTGCTATGTGAGGCAGCAGGTCTCCTGGCACATTCTCCTTTTATTGTTGGGTAAGATCACATCCTTTCCCCACAGTCTTAAACAACATTCCACAGAAGACATCGCTGATTGCTGGGATTAGCCTCGTGGTGTTGGAATGGTGAGCACTTGGAAACCAGGCAGGAGGTCCTGGGCTTCTCACCAGGCACAGGCTGAGCCAGAGCGCTGTGCTCAGGGCTCCCCTTCAGGGATGGTAGGGTGGGTTAGGCAGGTCCACATCTCCACCTTGTTCACTGTGACCTTGGGAAAATTCAGGTCTCAGGGAGTTCACCTGGTCTTTTCCAAGAACCGTGTCTTGCTGTCCTCTGCAGGCTGTCCCAAGTGGAGGGAGCAAAACCCACTTTGGCCAGGGTCTTGACCCCTGGCACATGTCACCGTTTTCTGTCATTCTAACGGTGCCCAAGGGCAGTGCTTATACAGAACCGACTTCTTGAGCCCAGGCTGTGGGCACTTGGCCTGATGGGGCTCTGACAATGTCCTCATAAGGGGAGCACACAGTGAGGGCTGGGCTGGTTCTCAGACACATTCAGGGTCCCACAGGGCCTCGGGCACCATACCTGACATGCCACAGCACCTCCCAGGCAGGAGTGGTTGTCCCTGGCTGCCTGAGCTGGGACCCCAGTGGGATGGGGCTGAGGCGGGGCTTCCTTTTCCCTTACAGAGCCGCTGTGCTCCCCTCCTGCCTCTCCCCTCATGGTTGCCTTCCCTGCGGGGCTGTCTCAGTGCAGCCTCTCCATTTCCCCTTGGAGTTCTCAGGGGGCCCATCTTCTGTTCAGCCTCATGCTTTGTTTCAGCTCCTGCCGTGTCACCTGGACCTGTGATCCTTGAATTTCATGTCTTTGCTCTCTTGGGTGTATGTCCAGAGGACCTGTCCAGCTCTCTTCCTGGGCTGAACATTCTCACAGCATCTATGGGCATCGAGGGATCACTGCCTGTCTGCATCCTGGTGTGTGCCGTGCTGGCTTTTAGGCTTGGGGACTCTCATGGAGTCCCCAGGGTCCACCACGGCAGTTTTACCTTCTCCAGCCGATCTTGGGAACCCATGGGGCTCACTGAGCTGAGTTGGTGTGGATCTCTTGCCCTGCAGTGGGACCAACTCCACACCACATCTTCCTGTAAGATGGGCTTTCTCTTTTCTTTTCTCTCTGTTTCTCACTCTCCTTGTTTTTTCTTTTTTCTTTTGTCTTTTTTAGACAGAGTTTCACTATGTAGTTTAGGCTGGCCTCAAACTCATAGCAATCCTCTTCTCTCTGTGCTGGGATTGCAGGCATGTGCCTGTGGGTTACAGGCATGCACCGCCACACCTGGTCTCTTTTCTTCTTTTTGTTTTCTTTAGGTGCTGGGGGTTGAAACCTAGGCTTTGCACTGAGCTACCTCCCCAGCCCTTCTTTATTTTTCATTTAGAGGCAGGGTCTTCCTAAGTTGCCCAACTTGGGCTAGAATTTGCGATCCTGATCTTCCTGCCTCAGTCTCCCAGAGTACTGGAGTCACAGGCATGTGCCCCCACCCCTGGCTGGGGCTCCTCCTTCTGCAAACTCCTTCCTTTGAGGTCACAAGGCATCTGTTCCCCACAGCCTTCTTCAGATGTGCACACTACTGTTTGGAGGAATTTCACAGGTGGTTGTTTGATATAACCATTAAAATTAAAGGCTATTAACTTACAGCTTACATGAGACAGTAAATACTCAAATATTATGGAGCAAGGGCTTGCTGTTCCCCCAGCCCCCAGGGAAAGCAGCAGCAACCAGTTTTTGCAAGACAAAAAGCTTTACTGTGTGGGCAGTACCACCAGCCAGGATGAAGAGCTCAGGTAGGGGTTTTCTGGGAGGGAAGGGGATTGATTGGGGGTTCCTAGGCTGGAAAGCAGCTGCCAAACTTTGACAGAGGTTAGGGAAAGGCCTGGGCTTCCGGGGGACAACTTCAGCTCTTGGATACTGAGGGACTGGTGTCCAGCCTTGGCTCATGTCACTGCATGGTCCTTTCCTAATCAATCTGACTGTGTTTTTTCACCTCTGGTCACTTGTACTTCCTTTACCCACTGCTTCCCTTCCAAATTCTGCCTCAGTACTGTCATGTGGGCACTGTTCACCACCGGGGTGTCAGCACACAGGGCACCCTGCTTGTGTCTTCGGTTAGTTGTGTAGATGTCACACGTACAGTGAAGACAGGATGGTGTTTAAATTCTCAGGGGTCTAGGGCTTCCCGTCAAGAATGCATATGGAAGTTGAGGACACAGCCCTCCAGAATTGGAAATCGTCCCTCATTATGTCACTGTGGAGTAGGTGACATTCTGGTCTCTGTCTCAGGGCCACTGTCAAGTGTGTTCATGTGGGATACCTGTTCCCCAGTCACCACTGTAGGCTGGCCCCGGCCCAGGATGCAGAGCTCTGGATGACTAGGACGCATGTCCTGTGAGCATGCTCAGGACTGCAGCTGAGGGTGGGGACACCTGTGTCCCTCTGTTTTCCTGCCCCTTGAGGGCAGCATCTTGGATTTTCTCAGGGCTGGGGTTAAGCATTCCCAGTGTGCCCAGCCTGGCATTCAGACTGAGCTCTGCCCTCTCTGCTGGTTCAGCGCTGTACTGAGGCTGACCACTCTCTGTCCAGCCTGGCTAGATGTCAGCATAGCCCTGGCTCTGACACAGTAACCATGCTGTGCGCTGACTGGAAGCCTGGTGACAGTGAAACAGAAACATGACATGATAAGGGAAGTGGGCTCTCAGAGACACTGGCAGGATGTATTGAAAGAGGAGGTTCCCAGGGGGTCAAGCTGACAAGGACATGCTGGGAGCCCCCATGCCTGGTTCTGGGAAACATATACTGACACACTAGTATCACTCAGAAGTGACCTGGTGTATGACAGCCTGACCACCCTGGCCATTGCTTCTCACTGTTGCCAGATGGAAGAGCCATAGAGGAGAAGTTGGAAAGTGACACTGCAAGGGTGCTGTCCCTTCCCCATGGCCCAAGACATCCCAAGTGCATTTCCCATGAGGTGAGACGTGCTACACTTGGGTTGACACAGTCCCCAGGTCAGACCTTGGGTGACACATGCTGTGAGGCTCACTGCAGGCACAGCATAGTCCAGGCCCTCACCACCTTTCTGGGGCCACCCTGGGACACCCAGTATACAGCTGCCATGTCTTGGGCCTGGTCATGATCTGATTGAGCCACTGACACTCAAGAGCTTCAGGAAACAAACAGACATGAAACAGACATGAAAATAAAGTCTGTCATATGCAAAATCATCTCCTCTCCAAATAAAGACCAGCAAATGTGAAATCAGAAGTTTAATATGACACCATTAAATAGATTTATGTATCTCACACGGGAGGATTTTTTTTAAAACATAAGAAGTTAGAAATTACAAGTAGGTCTATGCTTCCTATATTCAGATAAATTCATTTCTATTAATTATTATTTAAATTCCAGGTAGGGAAACAATCTGGGGAGAGAAGGACAGATACCCAGTTGGGCCCACCATGTCATTTCTGACAGAGCATTCAGCACCCTCTCTGCACTCCTGCCCCTTCCCATCACGCCTGGCCACAGCCGTCACATGAAGGCAGAAGGGATGGCGTGGTACTGGGCAGGACAGGTCTTCTCCATGCTCAGCCCTGCAGGGGTGTCTGTGGCTCTCAGTGATCCCACTGTGCCACCCAGGATGTTGTCCCTGCATCAATGGAAGGGGCTTTTCCTATTGGAGTGAGGCAGTAAACCCAATGTTCCAATGTGATCTTGGCAACTGAATCCCACAGACCCAGGAGGCAGGAGGACCCGATTCTCTCCTGGGCTGGGGTGTAGGTAACAGCAGAGTCAAGGTGTCTATACCCCTCTCCTCCCAGGACTGGATCTCCAAGTATCCCCTGGGTCACTTGGGGCTTGCTGACCCCCCACACCTGGTCTGATTTGGTCACCTCACAGGAGAGTGTGTTGGGGCATCTGGTTCTGTTGTGCAGACATCGGTGTTCTCACATTAATAGTTAATAACCTCACGTGAGGTCCTGACCTTGGAAACAGTGGTGGGGAGGGGTCCACCCCAGGAAATCCCTCTTTCTGTCCTGGGGGATCTGTGTGGCTGACCCCACCCTGCAGTGCTCGGGGGAGCATTTAGGAGCTGGCAGCTACACCCCAGAGAGGGTGTTCCTTCCCTGCACAAGCTGTGTGTGCTGACAGTCCTGCCTGAGCCTTCCCCTGTGATGACAGCCTCATGGCCGATGCCACAGTCATTCCCACACCTGGTGGCCCTCATTCAGGGCTCTCTGGCTTTCTGGATTCCTCCCTGCCCTACTCACCCTCTTTGACAAGCTACATCCACAGCTCAGGCCTTCTGGGACCACACTGAAGGTGCTAACTACCATGCCACCAGCCTAACAGGATTTGCAGTGAAGAATGCAAACATGTGCTTCAGGAAAAATAATCGCCTCCAGAATGTGAAAACGGATGAGCTGATCCTCCCCCACCTTCCAGCCAGATGTTGCTGCAAGCGCCTTTCTTTCAGTGAAACAAAAGTACACATTTTCAGGGGTGAATGGTGCTGACTACGGCAGCCTAAGGACCCTATCACTATGCGGTCACGATGGGAGACACACGGGCAGAGTCACGGCCTGGTCCTGGAGGCTGTGGTGGCGTCTACTGGGGCAGGGCCCTCAGGATGGCGTTGACCTCCTCAGCCACAGCTGTCAGTGCAAACTCAAACTGCTCCTGCCAGGGACACAAAGGGAGGAGACATGGGTGAGGCTTTAGCTTGCTCTGCAGAGAAGCTGGGAAGGAAGGGGAGCCAGGGCTTCCTTTTTGGCCCGGATTGGCTGGGCATGGAGGGCACGGACTTCTGGGTAGGACATGTTGTACCCATAGCTGGGCGGGGAGCAGTGGGTCCAGGACTACCAGAACAACCTCCCCCCCCCCCGCCCATGCCCTTACCCCAGATCCCTTCCTGGGATGGAAGGTGAGTTGGAGCAGACAGTGGGAGGTGTGCTCATTAAAACTGTCACCATTCTCGCTACACTGGGCCTGTTCTACACAAGTGTGTAGACTTACGGTGTTGTCAGAGTTTGGAAAGTCACTTGCCCCTGTGGCCTTCCTCAGTGATGACGTGTGGCAGCCACACCTGCTTGGGGAAATGCACGGGCACTCGCATGTGACCTGTTCAGCACAGGGCAAGCCTGGTCATGCTGGCATCAGGACTGCGGGCTTCTTGAAAGGACAAGTGCTAAGTAGGCACCCTCTCCTCACAAAATTGAGATGGATGTCACCACTCCTGGCTCCAGTCTCCACCTGGGCACCTCCGGGCTGTGGCACAGAATTCCAGGGAGATACCAGGCACTTGCTTGGAGGAGTCACAGGCCCCAGGGCCTTGTACGCCATTGCTTGGTCAGCCGACATGGACATCCCCATCAGTGGCCTGAACTGTTTCTCTGTCATCTCAATGGGCTGGTGCCAGCCTCTGCCACACTATGTCATTGTAGTGACCTTTAGGGTCCGTGGCCATGTTTGGAGTACTGTCCTTTGAGCTTGTCACCTGGATGGGCCCCTAGGAACTGGGGAGAGGGTGCAGTGTTCGAGTGGGAAGCATGCTTGTGAGAGGATTCGTGCCCAGGGAAACATGAAAATGACGGCAGGAGTGGCACCTGAGGAACTGGCCCCTGCTGTGGTGGGTGACAGAGGCCCTGGTGTCCACGGGGACTGGGCCTCAGAACCTGCACTGCCAGGTCTCATGACTTGAGGACTCCTGGTGACAGGTGCTGCCTCAGTGAGGCGGTGGTCAGAAGCAGCACGGAGATTGCTGGGCCAGGAGGCCCAGTGGGTGGATGTCCAGCTGCTACCCATGTCTACACTGGGCAGGGAGCAAACCATTAATGGACACGCATGTGGACCCAGCCACCAGGGAGCAGCCACAGAGCTCACCAGGGAGTGAGCCACACTCACCCACATGCACACATGTACTCACATGCACGCTCACACTCATTTTCTACCCGGGCCAATGCGGCATCCTTCCTCCCTCATGGGAGCGAGCTAGCTCTTGGTATTACTTCCAGAGTGACAAGTGTCCTGGAGGAGTGGTGGGTACAGTGAGTGTACCCATGCCTTCCCAGCAGTGGCTTCATGGTGACAGCTCCTGGGGCATCTGGTCTCTGGCTGTGGCACTGCCCTCAATCTTCCAGGTCCAGCTCACTGTTAGAGGTGACTGGGTCTTACACTGTCAGGGGACATCTGTTAGATGTTCACAGCTCTGAGACCTATCCTACTAATGCAGTGTCACACCAAGAGGTGGTGTAGCCCACGATTCATGGTCACACGCTCCCTGCATCAAGAGGTGTTGGCTCCTGGGCAGACCAAGACTCTGGGATGCTAGGCTGCTGTATTGTCTACTGTCTGTCCCCAGGATTAGGTTGACCTGCAGTTCTGCAGCTTCATGGTGGCGCTGGCATGGTGGTCACCAGTGAAGAGTGGCAGTGACTCAGGTCCTAGGAGTCCATGCCCAGGATGACAGTAGGTGGGCGAGGCTCCTTTCCCCTTGATATGTCCCACAACACTTCACTCGGTGGGGCCAGAGCATGTGCGGCCCCTGTGGTTATGTGCACTGAGGCTGGTCTGAGGGGTGCTGCCCTTGCAGGGGTCAGGAAGCTTTTTGTTAGTAGCTGGTTCTTGCCTGGAGTGAGGTGCATGCCCACACTAAGTGCAGAGGTGCAGGCAGGCAGAGGTGCCACTGGCTTCAATTTCCTACAGTCACCATGGAGTAGGGGCCAGTGCATACCCGGCCTCATGGACATCAGAGCTCACCACTTCCTCCTGAGTGTAAAGTGTCTCTGTCCACTGATGTCACTGGCCTCTGCTGCCTATCCCAGTTACCTGAAGCTCAGGGCCACAGACAAACAGGATGATCCATGGCCTGACCTCTTGTGGCAGGATGGATCTTCCACGGGGTATTCCATGGGGTGTGGAGCCCAAGGGTCATCTGAAAAGGCACTGTGGTGCTGCACCCCTACAGGGTGGCTTGGCTGGTCTCTCTCGTGTGATGCTGGATTGCTAGAGGGAGGGGTTGTTACTCCACGTCTGCACACAAGTGCTAGGAGGCCAGGTGAATGCCAGGCTGAGATGTGCTGTCTGCTCCCTGCCTTGGCATCTGTGGCAGGCACCAGTTCTGTGCCCAAGTTTATGCGGCCCGGCTCACCCTGAGTGTACACATGGTGTTGACAGTGTTTAACTTTCATTCTAAAATCTGCACAGCGGGCGGGGGGGGGGGGACATCTCCCAGAGGGAGCAACTTGGCCTGGATGTCCAGCCAAGGACTCCAGGGCGTGGCTCCAGGAACCAAGGCCAGATCTGAGATGTGTTGGTGAGCTTGGCTCTAGGGGCAGCTTGGCTCCAGGGCAGCTGGGCAGTGAGGGATTTTGTTATGATGCAGGGATTGATCCCAGGGCCTCGCAAGTGCTCAGCATCTGCTGAACCACTGGATGTGTCCTCAGCTTCTGAAAGGCTTTTGCAACTTTAAAGCCTTCTTAAGGTACGGGGTATTTTGCAAGGGTGTCATATAGCAGTCTCACATCTGTACACACTAACAGCATCCAGTGTACTCGGACCTGACTGCCGGCAGGGAACAGCCACATTTGCGACTTCAGGAGCATGTCAGTCTCAGGCTGCCCAAGTTCATGAGATCAGTCACAGCCCATTGTTACATCCTGACATCCCTGCCTGAGCCTGGGGACATTGCTGACTCGCCAGGACACAATACACTTGTCCCACTTACTAGGTCACAGCGCCCCATTGTGATCGCCACAAACTCAGCCATTCCAGTCCTCCTAGTCTCACACCCTTCTTTACCTCATTCCTCCTAAGCCTGTCCTACTGACCCTCTGTCATCCACAAAAGATGCAGTTCAATAAGCTGGACTCAGACTCCCCTTTGGAGTAACTCCAGGAGGTCCCCCTTGGAGCCCCACAGTCAGGCTGGCTGTGTTTCTTACTGGGTCAACCTCAGTTACCTAACATCTGGTGTTGAAACCCAGGAGGTGGCACCTATAGCAATGTGGCTCCCCCACCTTACCCTCGGGGCAGTAAGAACCGGTGGCCTCCAGCTCACCAGAGACCTCTCCTCAGCATCGTCTGCCTCAATCCCTCTGCTCAAGACTGGGGTGAGCCTTTCTGGAGAACATTCAAAGGTATTCACCCCCCAGTCAGTCTTTCTGGTCCTAATTAGGCCTTACCTTTGGATGTGGCCCGGACACAACGGACCTACTTGATGTGAGTTGCCGTTTATCCTTTGTTCTAGCTTTTGGTCTTTGTCTGGGGGATGTTCCTTTCGATCTCATTTGGCCTTTTCCTGTTGGACATGCTCATCCCGGATCATGGAGGAACTGCCCTTGTCCCTCCTAAAGATACCACCCTGTGGTGTCTCCTCCATAGCCCATCTCAACTCAGCCTCCAGGTTTATCTCAAGCCAAGATACCCCATCTCTTTCTGCAATATGGCTGGGCCACATTACAAGGCTCTCTTTGCCCATAATGTGGTTTGTCAGTTTTCCTTTTTTCTTTCTTTTCTTCCTTCCTCCCTCCCTTCCTTCCTTCCTTCCTTCCTTCCTTCCTTCCTCTCTCTCTCTCTCCCTTTTTCTTTTTTCTTTTTGGTTTTTTGTGAGACAGGGTTTCACTGGTTCACTCTGGCCTTGAACTCACTTTGTAGCCCAGCCTGACCTTGAACTTGCAGTGATCCTCTTGCCTCCGTCTCCCGAGTGCTGGGATTATAGGCATGTGCCACTACGCCCTGTTGGTTTGTCAATTTTCAGTTCCTCTCTGCCTGGACTGCTTTCTCCAGTGCAGACGAGGGGGGTGAGGGCCCCATGATCAGGCTCTGCTCTCGGCTCTCCCTACGCTTTCTGCTCTACCTCCCAGCAGATAATAACTCATCCCCTCCCCAAGGCCAGCCTTCACCCCAGTCTGCCTCAGGAAAAAACTTGCATTCCACAAACCTCTCCCTCTGCACCGTAACTACACCCCTTTCTCACTGCCCACTCCCTCTGAGTTTGGAGAGGGCTTTTATCTGTGACCCAGCCCCGCGGAGTTCACTGTGCCCCTCTGCTCTTTGCACCTTAGTTAGTTCCCCCGACACGGTGGAACTCACTCTTCTCCCTGCTATATTCATATCATTCTCACCACCACTCTCCTCTCTGACAGGGACAATGAGTTTGGACAGCAGGTGCCCATGTACCCAAAATAATCACCAAGACCCTGGGCAGTTGCTATTCCTTGACAAGACCCTCGGTAGAGCCTGAGGTGCTGTGCAGAGATTGGGGAAGGTGCCAGTACATCCTCACCAGCCGAAACAGGACCCCCATGGAGTCCACTGACTTCAACAAAATCCGAAAAAATCTATCAAGAGCCCACCCAATGCTGGATCACTTTACAGCCCTATTCATGTAGACACTAAAAGCCAAGTCTGATTTTTCTTAAGATGACTTCATTTCCCAGGCAGCCCCTGACATCAGGACAAAGCTCAAAAAGTTTAAGGATGGTCCTCAGATCCTGTGACTGACCTCAGGATTGCTGCTTTGAAACTGAGAACTTGACAGACAGAGATCCAGAAAAGACACCAAGAAATCCGCTCTCAGCTTCTCGTTTCAACACTCTGGCCAGGACAACTACCTAAGCAAAACCTAGACCTCTGGACCTCACTTTAGATGGGGCAAAGCAGGGCACTTGGCAAAGCATTGCCCAAATCCACAGCCCCCCACCTGGAAAACCCTGTCCCCTGTGCAGCTTAGCAGGCCATCAGAAGCTGCTCCCCAGTACCTCTCCAACACAGGTACTGGGCCGTCCACTCTCTCTCCTGTCGCCCGGGTGACTGATGGGGCTTGTATCTCTTACACCCTAGCTACAAACTCAAGAGACAAGCGTGACTCTTCTGGTCCATCCCTCAGGCAGCCAATACCTGGTTCACAGATAAAAGCCTCTCCAAATGCCCACACTAGGCAACATGTGCTATGGTCTCCGACTCTGACATTTAAACAAGACCCACCGACTCCCCCAAACCACCTCCCAGCAATCTAACCCAACACTTATCCTGGCTTCGCCAGCTTTCTCCCTCTCCCTGAAAAGACTCCAAAAGGACCTGATTTACTTCTTTCCTTGTTGTCAGATCACAGCCATTAAATCCCACTGTCCCCGGTCAGAATTCCTGCCCCTGGAGCCCTCCATATGTGAGCTCTGCCAAAACAACCCCCAGCCCTGAATCCTTCTGAGCCTGTGGGCAGTCACCCCTTTCATTGGTCCCCACACCCCTACTCCCAGTCCACTCAGGCCCTCGAACCCTTATTCCTAGGAGGCTTCCCCAGCTCCAAGCTCACTATTCGCCTCCCTCTCCCGGCCAGCAGGCCCTGCTCCAAACCCGAAGACACCGCATGATCCTCGGGTGCCTCATTTCTGCCACCCCGCCTCGATATCTTGAAACCCAGGAACACCAGGCTGTTCCGCTCGCTCCCTCCTCCTCCCCGCAGGCTTCTCCCTGAAAGCCACCTGTCATCCTCAGGACTCCTGCTCCCTGACCTTGATTGCGTTATCTCTACCTCGTACAAAATTTCTTTCCTTCAGCCCCAACTTTGCTCCAACAATAATCACTGACCTCTGGCTCTGGAGAACCATCCTTGAGCGCACTCCAGCCCACGTCAGCTTCTTAGTAACTGCCTCCACTTCTTTCCTAATCAGCCCTCATGCGACCTGTTCAGTTAATTCCCCTTCTGGCAGGAGCTCCACGGAGAACAAATCCGGACTAAACTGCCCTGTGCTCCACCTTTCCTCTATGCTCTCCAAACAGGTACAGCAGATCTCTAATAAACTCATTGGCATGCAAGATCATATGGACTCACAGGCTGCTACTGAGTTCCAAAACCATCACCGTGGCAGGTGTGTGTGTGTGTGTGTATGTATATATGTGTGTGTGTGCATGCCTTTCTCCTGGAGACCTGCTCTTTCTTCACGAAGTCTGGACTTGCATAAGATGGCATCAAAGAGCAGTGCAATCAAGCCTCCACCCTGCCAAATCGGGCCTGGTCCTGGCTCCTTCCGGACTGGCTGACTACTTCCTGGAGCTCCTGGCTCGTGCCCCTCCTTGGGCCCATTGTCTCGATCCTCTTCCTGGTCACATTTGCCCTGGCTCTTTCAGCCCCTGTTCAGTTTTTGTCAGCATGCAGATGTCTCAATTTGTCCCTGAAGTGCTCCCCAGTCAGCCCTCCGAGCCCCACAACTCCCCCATCTCACATCTCCTCTTCACGTTACCCGACCTAAGCCCACCCTACTATCCCCTACCCTATCTGTGAAAGACCCAGCTCAGCAAACTGGACTTGGATTTCCTTTGGAGTTTCTCAAGGGGTCCTGCTAAGAACCCCAAATTCACGCTGGTTGTGCTCTTTACTGAGTTGTCACTGTTTACATAACAGTGGACCTCTGAGAGCGCTGGCGTTCTCCCTGAGTAATGCTCAGGGAAGAGGGAATTGGAGTGACCTCCATTCTAAGTCTGGTTAAGCAGAAAGCTTTGTGCTTGCTCCTACTGTTGCAATCTGGCTTTTAGTGAGCTGACCTACTCTGGGGGCACCAGGAATCCCTATATCCTGTGGAAAACCTGATGCCTTCACCTCAAAGGCTAGTATGTGGCACAGGTTGGACTGGAGGGCAAGAGACAGAGGGCGTCAGGCATATGTTTGGTGAGCTGCGGACACCCCCTGGGACTCTGGCTTTGCCTTTTCCTTCTTTCTTTGAGAATCCAGTTTTCTTCCCCCAGCTCCAAAGGGAAACTTCCCGTTAACTGAGTTTCCTACTTGAGCTCTGCCTGCATCTGCATAGACTGGTAGTTCACAGTCTTGGGAAGGCCTGGGAGGCCCTGACTGCAGAGGATGGGGTGGACAGCAGCAGGCGGCCTGTGTCTGATCAGCCTGATCCCTGCTCTGCTCTTAGGAAGCAGCTGCAGATATACACCTCTAATACACTGGAAGTCCCACAGGACTGATTGACAGTACCTTTGTCTGGACCATGCCTGGTCTCTGGTCCCTCAAGTGCTCCAGGGTCGCTGCGATATCAATCTCTTTAGCACCTGCAACAAACCACAAATTGGGCTGAGTTCAGCGCACAAGATAATCCATGCTGCATCTGTCAATCTTGTGCTATCGGGCTCCCTCTGGGCAAAGAGGCCAATTGAAAATTATTACACTCGTCCCTCAGCAGGCTTGGCAGGCAGCTGCAATTTCAGTGTTCATATAGAAAATAAGGCAAGGGCAGCTTTCATTAGCATTAATTCGAGGAAGCCGGGCTGAGAAGTAGTCCTGAGATGCCTGTGAAGATACTGCACTCAGTGCCAGCAGCTGCTGCCATTAGAAATGAAAGCTGATTGGGTTGTTCTTGGTGGCATCTTCTCTGGTTTAGGTCAGAGGAAGCAGTGTATGTTTTCATTTTGATTGCATAGAATTATTTCTTATTTTATGAAAGGAAGGTTAGAGAAATCTCTTGCACTTAATGCTGGCTTTTGAATGTAGAGTTCTCTGGTTTCTACAGCTGAGCACTGCAGATATGAAGAAAGGGCACTGCTGGGATGAGGAAATGAGACTCGGCCAAGGCCATGCACAGGGGACCAAACCAGATGTTGCCAGGCACAGCAGGGCAAGTGCGGAGGGCCCAGGAGAGCGGCTGCAGGGGGACAATGGTGCTGTGTGGTGTCCTCCCTACTATGCTGCTGTGGGGCCTTGACATGTCCATGTCCAGCCCTGTGCTGCTATGGCCTTGTGAGTGGCTGAGCAATCACAGCCAGTATTGCCTTGGGAGCCCACGTGCTGTGACCTGCAGGACCAGAGGTGGAGGAGCCAAGGGAGCTGAGGAGAGGCAGCAGGGTAGGTGGCACCGGAGGGGACACACTGGAACCAAATATCACATCTGCATACAGGAAAACAGCGAGAAGCAGAGGAAATCTGCAGGAAGACTACCTAGAGCTCAGCATTGACCACCCCAGCCTGGGGTCCACAGGGTACTGGGGCCTCCAGCCCCTCTGAGTGCAGGTGAAGTGCTTGCCATCACCTTAAGAGCCCATCCATGGTCTCCCTGGCTTCTGACCATGGGCAACACCCAACCATAGGTCTAGGACACCAATGCCTATTGCCTCTGCCCTGAGCACCCCACTCCAAGAGCTGGACAAGAGGTGCACTCGAGCTGAGGACAAGGTCAGGTCTTGCTCTGCTGAGGTACTGCTCTTCAGGGCTTCAGATACTAAGGATGCCCATCTCATTTTAAAGAGAATGCATGAATTTTAAACAGTGTGGAACAGAAGGGTGAGTTTTAGTGGGTTAGGAAGAAAGGAAGTGGTAGCTAGTCAGGCCCCCCTTGGGGACCATCAATCCCTGGCAATGGAGCCCACACTGCTGAGTGACAGTGACAGCCATGCTGAGAACCTGGCTTCTCTCAGAACAGACTGGGAATGAGAGGTGGCTCTAGAACACAACCCTCATGGTAGCTGTGATTGGCCCTCTGGCAGGGCTGCATCTGCTGGCCACGCAGCACATTCTGGGGCAAGTGAATTTCAAGTGTGTAGAGTGCTACCCTGCAGACAGCATGGTGCCTGAGATGCCCAGCACACTGTTCTCTCCCTGCATCCCAAACCCAGTGAGGTCTCCCAGGGACATGGACCTCAGGCTGGGCCTGACCTCACCCAGAGAATGCCAAACCTTGCAATGTTTGACAACAGTGGCTGAAAAATAGCTTCATGATGAAATCTGGCAGCCACAAATACCCTAAAATTCCATGGAAGTACTTCTAGTCCCAAGAGAGTAGTGTGCCAGTGCCCCTGCCCTCTCACTGAGGGGGGCGGCTTCTGCAGCACTAGTGATGACTTCATCTGGGGATGTGTGTGTGGCCTTAGGACGTCTCAGGAGCATCCTAATGATCCAGTCAGAAGCTTTGAGGACTGTGTCACATGGCGTGTGCTGTGCTTGGATGCAGAAACCAAGGATGGAAGTCCTGGCCTTGGGTTTGTGGTCACCATGCAGTGTACTTGGGTTGAGGGTCTTTGGCGGTATTCTGGGACTGGGGAGGGGTTCATCAGGACTGGCCTAGGGTATTAAACATATGTCCATTGGTTTTAAAGGAAATTTTCTGAAACAGAAAAAGAGCAGTTCCAAGTAGAAATGCTGAGCTGGAACCTGACATGGTTTACTGGGCTCTGCAGAATGAGTATGGCTCTGCCCTGGGGTCCAGGTGCTGCTGTGGTTGTGGGCCTGGGCTATCACTCTGTCCTGCAGCAGGGGCTGCATCAGGGCCCTGGGAGATGAGGCCGATGACTCTGTGGCCTTCAGGGTACAGTGAAGCTCACCCTGGTGACACTCTGGACAGATGCAGCTCTGTTTGGACTGCTTAGTCCTCCAAACCTGGGCCTCCATGGACTCACAGAGGACAGTTTTAGTCCTGCAAGGCTGTAAGGGTCCATCTGGGACCCTCACACACTCAAAGCTTACAGCCACGATTTAACCCCAAGGGCTGTCTGTGCCACAAGTCTGGATGTATTGTCAGCACCAGGAGCTGCTGGCTGTAGACTGTGTCCTAGAACTCCACCAGGGACAGCAGAGCTGGGGCCAGTGTGGCTAGAAAAGCAGCCCCATGTGGGCAGCGACCTGGACAGTTTTTGCTGAGCACAGAATCCAGGGCTGGGCAGCGCTGTGCCGATGTGAAACATCACAACTGAAACCTTCTGCTTCTTGGCTCTGGGATGCACTTTCACGTGACTGCTCTCAAAAGAAAGTGGGACAAGGAAGCAGAGTGCCCTGAGGCTGCCTCAATGGGGCACAGACTAGAGAGAAATGTCGGGGAGATGCTCATATTTTGCCTGGCTGACACCAGACTGAAGAGCAGAGGAAATTAAATTAACACTGAAAAAAACTGAGAGCACTACAGTTAGGTAAGTAATGGATTTGTTAAGTAAAATCAATTGTCTAAGGTGGATGGCTAATACCTTCCTGCACGCTAGAATTAAGAATAATTAGTTATTTGAAGTGTGTGTGGAGACAGCTCTAACAGAGCTCACTGCACAATCCCTTCCGAGGGACAGAAAGGCAAGGCAAGCAGCTCCGTGTAGCCTGTACTCTCTTTGTCATCCCAGCACCAGGTGACTCTTTGCGGGAGAGGCAGTGGACTGAGGGGTGAGCACTGTCCCCTCCATGTGTGGATGGGTCATTGAGCTGTTGGGTGAGTCTGAGCCCTGGTCCAGAAGCTCCTCTGGCATCTGTGGTAGTTTCCCCAAGAATGTGATGCCATTGCTGACAGACGTCACATTCCAGGGGCCAGTCATGCTCAAGTCAAATAGCTGTGGACAGCCAAGAGATCTGATCACATGTAAGAATTCAGGTGGAGGAGATGGGATGTAGGGCCACTGTGGGAGGCCTGGTGCTCTGTCCAGCTCGATAGTGGCATGGGACTGCAGAGCTCACCTGGCTCCTGGAAAGTCTACCGTGAGGCTGTGTGTGTCCTCCTGAGTGCCACAGCACCAGCTTGTCATGCGCATCTTGCCCTCAGGGCTACCCCAGAGCCATCCAGTGTGGCTCAGTGACTCTGACTATGTCATTCCACCTCATGTCTCAGTGGCTTAGGAGTCTACATATTGGAAAATACGTTTTCAAGACAGCGGAGGCTTTTTGAATGCTTTAGATAAGAAGTATTATCCAATAAACATTTAAAGAACATTAGCATTAAAGTATTAAAACTATTTTTTACAATGAAAGAATCAATTTGAAGCTGAAGAAAACCAGGCAAAGGAGCCCCTGGCGTCTCTTTATGACGTTTGCTTTGATTTCTCTGGGAGTTGATTCCTGGCTGCTTGGTGCTAATGTCATTACCTTTCTCCTTCAGGTGGACAGGGCCCTAGAGGGCTCATTTGGGGGACCTGCATTGCAAGCTGCCCAGCTTCCTACACTGCTCAGGAGTGAAAGTTTAATAAGCACAAGGGAGGTTCCTCACCCAGGGGGTTCTCGGGCTGCAGGAACACAGCATGTGCTATATTGAAGCAAAAGATGGTGTGTATCAAATGTCCAGGAGTGAAAGGCGTCCTGCACTGAGAATTTTTAAATTTTACCCTCTGGAAGGTCCATCTCCTCCAGGGCGGAAGCTGCCATTTGCACCAAGCTTGGGGATGCCTTGGTTTGAGCCTTTCGTTAGGAAGGGATTGTTGTGAAGGCCGAGGTTGCCCCATCCCCTGGCCCTTCATGGGCATGGAGCTGGGTGCAGAGGGCACAGCCTGAACTCTGCACATTCAACAAGAGCGGACCTGGCTTAAGAGTGTAGGGCTGCCTGGGTGCTAGAGCTGAGCACATCTGCCTGCACCACAGCTGGGCACCTGCTGCCTGTTGGCACTGACCATTATTGCATGCATGCAGGCACACACATGTATGTGCCCACACCACACACCTTACACATACACACACTGCCCTGCCACATCACTGCATGCATACACAAAAATCATACAGGCAAAACACCTCGCCACACACACACACACACACACACACACACACACACACACACACGAGACATCATACATCCACAGTGGTCCATCACACAATCACAGGAGACATTATACATGCAGAACAGCCCACTTCACACCCGCGTGTGCACACACACCCCTCTGTGGGTCTTTTGCACTGAATTTTTACTTCATACTCTAATGTGTGAACATAAAGACTTAAAAAAATTGAGCCGGGGGCAGTGGCATACCCTTGTAATCCCAGCAGTCAGGAGGCTGAGGCATGGGGACTGCTGAGTCTGAGGCCAGCCTGGACTATGCAGTGATATTAGGATAGCCTAAATGATATAGTGAGACTCTGTCTTACCCTCCACCCCAAAAAGTCAGAAAAATTATAATCAGGAAGTTGTTTTGCTGACCTAAACCACAAGCTCCTTTTTCAACATTTCAGTGGGATTAAAGGAGAGAAATCTGCACCATATTCTTTGGAAAGTGAGAGTCTCACAGTCAAGACAAACTAGGCATTATGTTTCTCTTTTGAACAGATTTGAAATCGTTTGTGTGAAGAAACTGAAGTGTCTCCAAATCTTCAGAGAAGAAAA